CCTTTCACCACGTCGCCTTCTAACCCTGGCACGACCATCGTGCATGCCTAAACAAAATCGAGACTCGTCACGAGAGACAATACTGTTCCATTCCTGATCCCAGAGTGACCGTTGTCTGCACCACTCAAGGCGATTACGTCGGTGTTCTCGAGTTAAAGGGAGGACCCAGTGTGGCCGGTATGAAAGCTAGCCAAAACTTCTCGTTCGTCGGTAAACACTTCGCATGCCAATAGGTCTTCCGTGTTCTGCAAACCATTCATTTGCAATGGAGCTGGTAGTGGAGAAACGGTCCCTTAAGGCCAATTATCTTAGGCGGCGATCTTCACGGTCTGTTGTTCTACGGCGGCGTCCAGTGCCCCTTGCTCTTTGCGTACGGCCTTCTCGAAGCCATGCCTGACAACACCTAACCACAGTGTCTACACTTCTTTGCACTCTAACTGCAATTGCCCGAAAAGAAAGTCCAGCTTCCCGAAGTCCCACTATACGGCCCCTATCAAACTCACTAAGTTGACGAAATCGTACAGGTCTCCGTACTCTAGGCATCGTAACCGATCGTAAAGGATGTCAAGAACCAAAATCCGCCAACGTTGATTCTTTACTGCGGCTGAAATATTCTTTTTGAGAGCGTTAGTGAATTAAAAAAAAGCAGTATAAAAACCGGAATGTCCAACTGATAAGGTTGAAAATTTTTTCACTTGTTATTTACAGTAAGATAAATACATTCACCAACTTTTATTAAAATAAAACCATTTAAACTGGGTGTTCGGATTTATATGTCACTTAGTATATTTCGCACTGTATAACCTCATCTCACCTGACCCCTATACTATTTATATACCTAATCATAGTTCATTATGCCCATATTTAGTGCCAGTCCTACACAAAAGTCTATTTAAACAAATTAATAGGGTTAAATGTTAAGTTGTATATTTAACGAAGATTAACTGTATTTATTATCGAGCGTAATTTATAAATGCCATGGAATGCACCGAGTGGAACAATGGTACTAAAATAAGCAAACGGCCTTATCTCAAATGAATTGTTTTATGTCATTTCTGGCTTAAGAACTAATTGTTCTAGATAGACAACAATAATGCGTCAATCAGCTAGTAAGTCGATAAATTCCAAGGATGTTTGGGTTCACTTGTCCAACAGTTGCCGTTCAATCACGGCGGAACATCATTTAAATTTCTTAGTAAACTATGCTACACTGACTTTCTACCCCAGGTCGAAAAAGGTAACATGTTTTGCGTTTTTTCCTGCTCCCTTAATTTGACGCTCATCTCTATTTCCTCTACGTAGGTGTTTTCTCTGTAGCTATAGTCAACGCCAAACAAAGTGGCGTGCACGTCATCACGATAAAAATTCCCCGACCTAATGCCTAGGTTTCTATCACAAACAATTGCTCTATTGCAGTTTCATATTAATGTGATATATAAATTGTAAAATGGTCATTACTCTCTTATTATGGTTAATAGTCATATAAACATTGTTATTAAAATATCACATAAGTTGCTTTCTGATAAATTTAGACGCATTATGTGAAATAAAATGTTTTGCAAACGCTCCAATCACTTATCGACATGTAAACGCACTAAACCGATTTCGCAGCGTTGACACATTGTCACCTTGAAACTTATTTAAACTGGGAACTGACATTTTTATTAATTTTGACACTGAATCAATTTGTGCCATTTCAAATCTTTATAAATCCTTTGGCCCCGCATACTGTAAATCAACAACTGTTTGTTTCAAAACAAAATTATTCATTTTACGAGTAGATAAAGGCAATTTTGGTATATAAAGATGCCCAAACAGTTAAATAGTCGGTGTAAGGAACTCGTGGCCTCGTTAATGCACTACTTTGAGCAAGAAAGGGACAACAACGGGCCTTTGTTGCCTTTAAATGCTGTTCAAGAGGTAGGTTACTAATAATTATATGTAATGTATATTAATAATAGTGAAATTTTAATTCATTTTTTGTAGCGTGTTGCTGCTGCTTTAAAAATTAGTTTAAGGACAGTTAGTCGTATTTCCGAGGGTGTGAAAAGTGATGCAAATTTAGAATCGCCCAAGAAAAAGCGGAGTTATATTAAACGTGTAACCAACACAGCGACATTGGATACAAGTGCCATTCGAGAAGTGATCTATAATATGTATCACAAAAGTAAGATCTTATTATAATAACTTATCAGAAATTTGCATTAATTTCTTAACTAAATTATAATGTCATATTACACATGGTTTCAGAAGAACAAGTTACGATACAAACTTTATGGTCTCGATTAAGAGATAGGGCATTATTTGATGGTAGTGTCACGTCTTTAAGGCGGTTGCTTAGAGATCTTGGATTTAAGTGGCTTAAGGACAATCCGCGACGAGGGCTCATGGAACTACCAAGTATAGCTTTGAAAAGGGTGGAATTTCTAAGGCAATACAATCAAGCCAAGGTTGAGGCCTTATACCAGTTTGTCTTCCTCGATGAAACTTGGATATTTCAAAATGGGACCATAGGTCGCTCTTGGCAAAATGGAAACCAAAAAAGCGTGAAAGCTATTAAAACAGATGGTAAAAGGTATGTACTTTTACACAATTTGCACTATAAAATTTAAAACTAATATATTTTAGATACATTATATTACATGCTGGAAATGAAAATGGGTTTATTGAGGGTAGTGAAGCGATATTTTCTTCGAAAACAAAATTGAGCGATTACCATGGAGAGATGAACCAGGACAATTTTTTGAAATGGTTTCAACATCAGTTATTAGAAAAATTGGAGAGTCCATCTATGATTATACTGGATAACGCCCCTTATCACAGCATGATATTGAACAAAGTGCCCAACAATGCATGGACAAAAAAAAATATCCAAGACTGGTTGACAAATCAAAACATACCATTTTTAAACACAATGTTTAAAACAGAGCTATTGAGTATTGCTGCTCGGTACATAATGCTTCTTAATTATATATATTTTGGTCGACAGTTTATATTTCTTTTGTTTATTCCTATTCTTAAAATAACTGCTTTTTTAGAAACAAACCACCTAAAATATACGTGATTGATGAATTGGCGGAACAACATGGGCACAAAGTTCTTCGTCTGCCTCCTTACCATTGTATATTTAACCCTATTGAGTTAATTTGCGGCATAGCAAAAGGTTACTATAACAGACATATTGGTAGAGATGGTAACAGTGAAAAAGACTGTTTGGATATGTGGAACGAGGCTCTACAAACGGTTACCCCAGGCATGTGGAAAAATAGTGTTCGACATACTGAGCAAGAAATTTTTAAATGGTATGAAAGAGAACGAATTTTTGATCGACCAGACATCGAACCTTTAATAATCAACTTTGAGAGTGATGAAGATTCAGATTCAGACAGCGCTGAAGAAAGAAACTCCGACTAACTTTATTGTACAGAAAAAGCTTACACCAGTAGCTTACCTAATTTTAGAATGCATTTTTCTGTATGAATTCTGTAAAATAAATACCATGCATAAAATTTGGAGGACCCCATTTGGATTTTTATTCAGTACCTTTAAGCTATCAATTAAATATGGTAGTTTCATAGTGTCATCTGATCAATAATTGTCATACTTAATGATTATGCAAGTACAGATCTATAATTTTATTATACTATTATTTTTGTTCTCATTTGAAGTTAATATTGCTTATAAACCTAGATATGTAAATAATAAATTTTATTATTTTACAAAAAGTTTGGCAACAATGTAAATTTTTCAACACACCCACCTTGATGACGTGCACGCCACTTTGTTTGGCGTTGACTATATTGACCTTTTCTGTAAAAGAGGCATCAGCTCCTGTCCCCATTATTTATCACTATTAGTACATATCTGACCTGAATCAAATTCAAGCGGATAACCAAATGGAAATGGTATTTACCATTTTGGATTGGTATTTACCGATCCGTTCAAGCGAGTGTGGTTATCAGTTTGGTTATAAATCCGTGACGTCACGAATCAGCTGTTGTATGCCATAGTTATCACCGCAAAATTGTGGTATTTACCCAACTCCGGAGTAGTTTTATATTTCTGGTTATTATTTGACATGTGACAAGTTAAAATTTTGCCGGGTATTGGATATATTTATTGTACTTCAGCTTCATTTTTGGGAAACTTGATACAGGCTGACTTCAGTTTTAGCATAAGAGAGCACCTTATTATTTATAATCATCACTGTTGTTGGGGACACTTTAAATCTAGTTCCTCCACAAAAAGTATCCTGTATAGCCATATACCACAAGAATATTAAAATATGGCCGTATAAACTCACTGGATGATGTCCACCTGTATACGATTTTGTTAATATCTTTTTTCATCGCTTTTTCATCATTTCTGCTAAATCAATAAATATTTTTTTTGACATGCGGAAAAGCTTAGAGAATTGAAAGTAATCATAGCTACAAAGCCATGGTTCCATCAGTAAAAATTTTTTTCGGAAAAAAAAACAGTCCTCCCATTAATATTATGAAAGTTTTCTTTTTTTCAACTTTCCATACCCCGTTGTAGACGAAAAAGCACCGATTATTAAGTGATAATAAAAATAATCAGAAATTATATACGGGCTTTTCTAAAATAAACAACTTGCAACAAACCGCGGTTAAAACCAACGCGTTCAAGCGATTCGAGTAACTGACGTCACCATCCCGTGTGTCATCTTGAACCATATTATAACCGCGGTACATAATACGGAAATTTTGGTTATCCGCTTGGATTTGATTTTAGCCGTTACCACGGAGAGTACAAGGCCAAACAACTGGGCCCCGAAAAGCCTGTGACGTCACGGAGAGTAGGCCTATGCTTGTTCTTATGGAGTTTCGCGATGCCTGGCTGGCAAGAGAACCGCGCCACCATTTCTCTGGGGTGTTGTCATATCTAGGTTTGATATAGAAGTATCGAAATCTCTACTAATTAGTTGTACCTGTCTGTGGGCGAATTTGCAAGATGTACTCGGGGCCTGCGCAGCTTCAGTGATGATGTGATTATTCTTTCTGACTGCCTCAGTATGTCAAGAATACATTTTCGATATTACGTTCAATCTGTCACTTGTGAAGTCTAATATTCCATTCAAAATTGGAAGATGTGGCAACCTTGCCAACTAACCTCACATTCTGAGCCTCATCTTTCAATGCTATGTAAACGGAAAATTATTGATGTTTTAAACTCATATTTGTGTCTCGCGATTGTTTAGCTAAGTTTTCAAAATGCCTTACAAGTGCTGCGTTCCTAATTGTGTCGGTAATTACGGGAAGGGTCCGAAGGTACACGTATTTTCGTTTCCATTGAACGAAAACTGTCGTAGAAGATGGCTCAATGCAATCCCTCGTAGTGATTTAGTGGTTACAAAAAGCACCCGAGTATGCAATTTGCACTTTGCTGAGGACAGCATCATTCGGGAATCCACATTCCATGACGAAAAGAAAGGTAGGACCATTACTGTACCCCTTAAGTATCCAAAATTGAAGGCAGATGTAATTCCAAGTATCTTTGCAAATTGTCCAAAATACCTTTCAAAGGACATATCAGGCAGAAGAAGCCGAGATGAGAAATTGAGGGACAAGGAACAAGAACAACTACTTAAAGCACTGCAAACTAGCATTGATGATTATTCCTCCTATCAAAAATTAACTTATTTTCAAAATTATTCAGACTTTCTCACAGTTTTCAGTTCATGGCAATGTCCATATGGGTGGCATAAAATTGTTCAGGATAAAGTTACTTTATTTAAGTTAGAATATAAACCAGCACCCATCATAACTCACTCTGCAATTGTTGACAAAGATCCCAATGTAAAAACGTATATGTACTCCCAAGAATTGTTACTCAACTCAGGTAATATTAAAACTCCATTTTTATTATCTAATATACACCACTTGGATGATGTTCTGCATGTTCTTTGTGAGAATACAGATGCTTCGGGGGAATATTCAGGTAAAGACCAGTTCAGAGCCACTATCAACCATGCTTACAATATTTTAAATAGCACAGAACTATTCACCGATGAAGATACCCACACTGTCATTCAATTTATTTGTGAGCAACTAAAGCTTGCTATTAGAAGAACAGAAACAGTTACACATCAGAAACAATAGTGTTTTGCTCTATGTTGTATACAATCAGTCCACATTCATAAGGAGCCATGGGAACACTTATTTTACCACAAAAAAATACTCTGAAGTTAATATGTAATACATTGATGGTCGATCCAGTTCCCGATGAGAGACATAATTTTTTAGGCTATGCAAAAAACCTTTTCAGATTTGTGAAACCTGGTGAGGAGTACATCATATTATTGATGGATGAAATACACATTCTGCCATATTTAGATTTCAAAGGGGGTAATATTGTTGGAACGTCAATTAATAATACTTCATTAGCTACAACAGCCTATGTGTTTATGATTTCAAGCTTCTACTCCAATTTCAAAGAAGTTGTTCAAATTGATCATAATCTATTATACAATATGACAAAAAAGTATCGTCAACTGGCAGGGGGTCAATATAATATATCAATTCGTCAGTTATATGAATCTCAGAAAAAGTTAGGAACTCAAAGCCTGATGTCATTGAAGTCTCGCTATAGTGATATACAAATAGATAAATTCTGTGAAAATGACGATTTAGAAATATATAGATGAAATTCCACACAATTTTAATGATTACCACTTTTTCCGGGAAATTGAAATTTTACAGTCTGATATTGATAGTGTAAAGGATGAAATCCCTGTCATCACCTACTTAGCTGGTTACTGTTGCTATGCCTTATTAAAGAGAAATCCCTGCATTCATTGTAAGGAAAATTTGACACACACAGATGATATTGATATAGAAGACAAGCACAATATTATACAGAATTTGAGTTGAGGTGGCTTAAAATTCCCGAAGGATCCAGTTATTAATATTGTCATGCTGAGTTATATAATTTTCAATGAAGTTTTTCTCAGTTGATAATTAACAATCTGAGTGATAATAATCACGACACTTCATTTTCGCGTTGCACAGTCCATTCACCAGATTATGTTATAAAACTAATTGTTATTTGCACAGTCAATACATTTTTGAAAAATTATTGTGCCAAAAGGAACGACTGGTTTGCAAGCGCGAATAAAGCAAAGAAACGTAAATTGACTACATTCACATGAGGCGGCAACATTACATAGCTGTAGATAAATGTTTATTTGTACATATTCAGAATTTAGCACTTTAATTTTCGTTATTATAATTTTTGTTATTTTTGATACTTGTTTTCTGTTTCCTAATTTTTGTTATTATTTGTTTGTTCTAAGAGTTTTTATTAAGTTTTCGTTAATCTTTGTTATGTTTTTTCTGTTGTTTATTTTACTTTGAATTTATCTGTTTTTCTTATCATTTATCCTACACTTTTTCCTCGTCATCTGCCTTATTCCTTTCCTGGCAAGAGCTTACCTCAGAGCTCCTCGTTGGTTCTTGCTGGACACAACTGTTCTACAAGCACTACAGTATATTCAGATAAGAGATAGACCGGATGTAAACAAAATGTTCGGGTGATTTTCACGCTAACGCCGCCGTCTCGACGTAAAACAGGAGCTCTCATTGGTCAATTCGCAATTAAATGCCTATGCCGAGCGGCAGAGCAGTCGTATCAAGGCAGAGTCACATTCAGGTTCAGACGTGTTACGTATGTCGTGTGCATCATTGCAATTTGATATTTCTTTGGACGTTTTCGTTTGTTATCTTATTAAGTTGTTGAGTTTCTCGTTGTTATTGTTATACCTTGTTATTGATTGTTATTGTTATCAACTGCTTGCGCAAAATGCCCAGTAGTACAGATACTGCCGATGACGTTGTAAACTCCTGTAGTCCACCTAGGAAACGCTCTAAAAAAAGACACCTGAGTGCAGAAATGAAAGAGGTCATTTTGAATATATATAAGATCGAGCGCGAGGAGAACGAGGCAACAACCATCAAAGAAATTGTTGTGAAGGTTTCTCACAAAGTTGGGGTGTGTCGCGCCTCAGTGTTTAATGTGTTAAGACAATACAAAAAAATCACACCTTTTCTGAGCCAATGACCAGTAAACATCGCAAAAGTATTGTTAAATCATTGGATGAAGCTGATAAGCATGCGATTAGGAGGAAAGTGCATGAATTCTTCTTTAGGAATGAAATACCTACTATAGATAAAGTACTGCAGGAGGTAAATGGAGATACAACGTTGCCAAATTTCAAACGATCAACTTTCCATGCGTTACTGAAGCATTTAAATTTCAAATGGAAAAAACGGGGTCGTAATAGTTTACTACTGGATAGAGAAGAAATTGTGCTATGGAGGAGGGATTATTTAACAAAAATTGGGAAATATAGAAATCAAAACAGGAAGATTTATTACCTTGATGAAACGTGGGTAAACGCAGGACACGCTACAAGTAAAGTATGGGTTGATGATTCTGTAACTTCATCCAGGAGGGCCTTTCTAGATGGACTGTCCACCGGATTAAAAAATCCAGCAGGTAAATACGAATAATAGACAACAATCGGATGTTTTTCAAACCTTGGGAACAAGGTTCTAAACATTAATTCCAGGGGGCAGATAAAACATATTACAAGTAACAAAACTTTTATAACTTTCGATAAAATGCGTGGATGTTTTATTGTCATTTTCATTTGTTAGAACTTTTTTAAGCCATGTTTTTATGTGTTTTCGATATTTCAATAATTTTTTAATATAATCTTAAAATATGTCGAATATTATAAACTTAAAAAAAGTTACTAAGTTTTATATTGTGTACCGTTCCTAATCTTTCTAATCATTTTAATTCATACTTTAAGCTTTATAAAGTTATAATTTGTTAATATTAATATTTGCGCGTATTTCAGGTTCCTGATCATTCATTTTTTAAAGGTTTATAACTTTAAATTAAATTGTGAAGCGCTGAGTAATCATACGACGTTTAATATTCTTTCTTTCAATATGACTAAATAATCCCAATTATAGCAATCTGATACTCATGTCTCAATGTTTTTTCGCTGAATGTGATGAAAACATTTGAAAAAGGTTCGCTTATTGAAATAAATCTACACCAGTTAGTACTTCGATTTCCAGGTAAAGGGAAAAGGCTCATTATCTGCCATATTGGCAGTGAGGATGGATTTGTTGTTGACGGTCTGTGGTGCTTTGAGTCTAAGAAAACTGGAGATTACCACGAGGAAATGAATGGCGAATCGTTTGAACAGTGGTTTTCAAAAATTTTACCGAACTTAGAGGAAAACGCAATAATTGTGTTGTATAATGCGCCTTATCATTCTCGAAGAATGGAGAAGGTCCCAACAACGGCTTCAAGGAAAGTTAATGTTCAAAATTGGCTCCGCTCGAAAAATATCAACTTTGAAGAAGCAATGCTGAAAGTACAATTATTAAGAATTGTCAAGGATCACAAGGCGGAATATCAAAAATACGCCATTGACGAAATGGCAGCAAGTCAAAATGAAACTGGGCTCCGTTTACCTCCATACCATTGCGAGCTCAATCCCATTGAGCTCATATGGGCAGAGGTTAAAAATTATATAGCTAAGCACAATACAACTTGTAAATTTTGTGACCTCAAAGGACTTTTCAAAGAAGCACTAGAATTAATAACAGCGCAAAAATGGGAAAACTGTATTAAGCACGTGAAAGACAAAGTTGAAAAGAGAATGTGGGAACTGGACAATATTTTAGAGGAACAAGTCGAGCCATTCATTATTGACGTTGGTGCTTCAGGCAGTAGCGATGATGAAAGCTCATCAAGCTCATCTTTCCAATAAAAGATGTCGTTCATCAAATTCGGTAAGTTATAAGTAATTATAAAGCTACTGTATTTTTTAATTAATTATTGACATTTTTGAACCCATTTTGGCAAAACCTATTCAAGAATCTACTTTCTGACAATGTTCAACCATGCACATTTTTTTACGTTTTGAACGTTTTAATTTGGTTACATATTTACCTAGAAATCAAAAAATATATTAATCAATATTCTAAAAGCAATTTTAAGAGATATACGATTATTTTTAATTTAGGCTAATTTAAACGCCATTTTGAGATTATATTCGACTGTATTTCACCAAACATCAGGCGGCATCCGAAGCTGGAAATCGAAGCGAACATTTTGAAACCCTTATGTATATTTACATCATTATATATTTCTTACCCCACCCCCACATGATCCTATATCCATCACCAATCGTATACACATCGAATTGTGCTAATTTACTACAAAGTTACGCAAAGCAGCATCTACTATCTAAAATATGTACTGCGTGACTCTTAATACGTCCCTGCCGAATGTTACAGCGTTCGATGATCACGTGGTCTTGTTTATGTCCGGTCTATCTCTTATCTGAATATACTGTACATTTTTTATATAATTTTCAAGTACCATTATATTATGCCTATAATAACAGTAAATTGTCCACATATTCCTGTGAAATTTTATTGATCGGTTGTGACTAACATGGGGTTATTCATTGAAGAATTTATCATTTTTAGCAAGCTTTTATAACATCAACTCATTAAACTAATGTGCACGTAATGTTGGATGATATATCAGTGAAAATCAGTGTGAAA